CAGGACTTAAGCCAATGTTTCAGTCATGGACATATACTGGCATGATGAATAAAAGCTCAGCCGATGAAGAACACAAGGAGGCACTGGTTTAAAGAAGAGGACAGCAGAATACCGAAATCAATATCTCGTCTGCAAGAAAACAGGATAATCAAAGAAATGGAATAATGTGAATTAAAATAATTATTGAAATAATTACTTTGGCATTATATTTTCAGTGCAGACATGTTCTCCTAAAGAAACTGTATAAAATTTCCTTGCAAGTGATAAACTGCTAACTCATGTTCTATTCACCCTTCAAACAGCACACAGGTGGAAATCTTTTGAAAATATAGCGCATATGTATGCACTGTTTCTTTTAATATCACTTTATCTGATCCTGCTAGATTTTACAAGAACAAATACCCATTCAAACAATACAACTACGAACACAAAGTATTTGCGATGTTTTTTCTTGGATGTGCAATTGATTTCGTATTTGTTAGCTCACATGAGACTCCTTTAGATCCAAGTTTACATCTTTTTAAAATGTATCAATGGGATATTTTCATTGAAAGCTGTATTTTTCTATTTTTGCAGCTGGCATTGGAAATTTCCTGTGAACATAACCAAACTATACATATCTATATCCAGTACTCAAAAAAAAAAAATGTATTAACAATTTTGTATGTGAGCGTTGCTTTGCATGTAGAGGAACAAAAGACTGTAAGTTTGTACCTCTTTATATGGAGATAAACCATTAAAAACATGGAACAGAAAAAATTAACACAAGGATAAATACTGAGGCTAAAATTCCACAGAACATCATTAGACATCAAAGAATCTGTAAATAAATAAATACTTCAAATCTAGTGCACATTCAAGTCAAGTTATTTCCTTGAGTTACCAAGTTGTGTGCCAAGCAAGTGTTGGAAAAAAATCTGTGAAAAAATATACAGTTGTTGGAATTTGGTACACATGGCTTTCCCCCTCTTCATTTTAAGTGGCTGAAAATACTGTATTTTCAGCTACAGTTGTTACATTTTCCTTGTTCTTTCAACCACAGATCCTCATTCTCATCTCCACCACATCTTTTCTCCACCTTCGGTTAAAACAAATGACTGGTCCATGATTCATGCGCCTGGACTCACAATGAAATAGCAGAGGCCTCTGACAGGAGAAGAATGAATAGGTATACGCAGAGGCGGAGGGTCAGTTACAAGCTCTTAAATGCAGTAACTTGAACTCTGAGTAAAATCATTACCATTTAACATCATAGCTTATACACTGGGACTGAAAATGTGACTGAAAGAAAAGTCTTTTAATGACTTCAGCGGGTCCATGATTTTTCCCAGTATTCTCACCTTTGTTCAAAAGTGACACGCGAACATACTTCAAGCACCTAAAGTTGTCTGAAAGTACTAGTGCCTAGTTCTACCCAATAACTTTTTTCACCTCTTGGTTTACTTTGTAGAATAGAATTATAGAATCATAGAATAGTTTGGGTTGGAAGGGACCTTTCAAGGCCATCTAGTCCAAACCCCTGGCAATGAGCAGGGACAGCTTCAGCTAGATCAGGTTGCTCAGAGCCCCGTCCAACCTGACCTGGGATGTTTCCAGGGATGGGGCATCTACCACCTCTGTGGGCAATCTGTGCCAGGGTTTCACCACCCTCACTGTGAAAAATTTCTTCCTTAGATCTAGTTGAAATCTACCCTCTCTTAGTTTAAAACCATTTTCCTTGTCCTTTTGCCACAGGCCCTGCTAAAAAGTCTGTCTCCATCTTTCTTATAAGCCCTCTTGAAGTACTGGAAGGCTGCAAGAAGGTCTCCCTGGAGCCTTCTCTTCTCCAGGCTGAACAACCCCAACTCTCTCAGCCTGTCCTCATAGGAGAGGTGTTCCATCCCTCTGATCATTTTTGTGGCCCTCCTCTTGACCCGCTCCAGCAGGTCCATGTCTTTCCTGTGCTGAGGGCGCCAGAGCTGGATGCAGGACTCCAGGTGGGGTCTCAGCAGAGTGGAGTAGAGGGGCAGAATCCCCTCCCTCGACCTGCTGGCCATGCTATTTTGGATAAAGCCCAGGTTATGCTTATTAGAGTTTACCTCATATGCATTTATATAGTTTTTTTTATATAAAAGCACATGAGTTTTTTAAAATTGCAATTAGACTATCCTCCCATTTTTCAAGCATATCAAAACACTCTCTGTCTACTCAAAGCAGATATTAAGCAAAGAGTTTTTTTTCTGTCAGGTTATGGTACATGGAATAACACGTGATCTTACCTCTCCATTCTCCAGAGGATGGATTTTGGAATAATAAGAAGTGCATATGACTTCGTCATCTTTTATATAGGATGGAGTTCCAGGACGAGGATGAATGTTGTAGCGTGTCAGGCACTCACTGTCTGTGATGGCATAATATTGCCATGGTTGATAGTCTACACCATCCAGCGAACGCTCTAATATCCAATTCCCAGGTCGAGGTGAGTTAGCTGCTTTCACAATAACATATGCAATCTGGAAAATCTGAAAAATAGGCAAATTGTAAATACTTAATTATAAATTCATTCCAATTTCTTAATATCTACCAAACTAAGAACAGTAAATATGATGTTTTATTATTTTCTTCCCTAAAAATGCAATATGGCCTCAGAGTCCATTGAAACTCTTTAACTACAGAAATAAATTCTCCATTAACATTTCCGGAAAAAGATTATTTGCATTAGGCCAAAAGAGACTTTGAAAGTAGAGATAAAAGCACTCCAAATTCCACATAATTTAGTAGGTAATTGCTAAGCTGCGGTTTCAGACAAATATTTGCAAAGTTTTTTCAAGTATTTTCAATTTGTAGAAGTGGTTTTGTTTCTGCACGTGTATTTAAAGAGATACACTTTCTGCAACTTGTAAGAGTTGCCAAACTCTGTTACAACTTTATTGCTGTTAAGAAAAAACATAGGTTTAAGCTACTGAAAGGTAATCACATCATGCTGAAATCATTGTACAAAACATTCTTGTTTCAATCATGTGACTCAGCACTGTGGCCATAAATAAGCTTTATAGGCCAGAGACACATCAAATATCACTATAAACAGAATGTAAGCAGGTAATAAATGCTCATCATGGTCCATTTCACCTGCCTATTCAATTGATTTATTAAGGTTTATTTCTGTTTACAGGCTTGCTGGAATGCAAGCCGCAAACAATACATTTGCAATTGCAGAATGACATTTGTTAGCGATACAGTTTTGTTTTGTTTTAACCAAGTATCATCTAGATGCAGTAGAACTGAAGCTAAGGAGAGGAAACAGCTACTTCCATGAGAAAAGCAGAACATACAGCAAGTTAATATTTTTTAAGATGCAGTCCTGTGAGTCTGCCAGTGGGTATCATGGAGAGAACAGTGTTGATTTAATACTTAATGTTTTCTATATTGGATAGTCATTGTGAAGGAGATGCATGACTCAGACTTAGTCCACATAAAATCTGTTTTGAATAATTAAACAATCACTAGTGCTGGTGAAAGAAGATCCTACAGTAATCAATGAAAGAAACAATAGGAAGACTAAATTGTTTTTTTAATATCACCAGTATTATTATAAAATAGAAATTAGGTTAAGTGGCAGAGTACTGCAAATACTACAGTACATTTGATGATGGAGGCAAAGAAAATGTATATCTCCAATTATCATTCCTGCCTTCTGTGTGATGCTGAGAACATGGTAAGATCCACAACAGCTTCAGTCAGGAAGTCAAATCACTAACAACCAAAGTTTTTCAGTGGGAATAAGAAATGGTGAGGCTGCATTTATTTCGACATGAAAAATATGTGTGTTACTGTGCATTCGTGGAGGACTACCTCAAGTTACCATATTTTTCTGGAATAGCATAAATGAAAACCTCCAGAGACAAGGAGAAACCTGTGCTTCATTCCATTGCTTCAACAGGAATTATACAAACACTTGTCCCCTGTTTCACAAAAGCCCTTTCCTCTCTTTAACTCATTTATAGATATATTCCATTGTTGCCACAAATAACTAAAACTGTAACTATACTGGATCACAGTCACCAATACTGTTTACAACAAACAGAGAAAAACACAACATTAATATACCTCTCCAAACCGTTCCCCCTCAGTTAAACTCTTTCTTTGAAATGAAAGAAAATAGCTAGAGTGTTAAATTATTTATTGTTTCTTAAGACAGGTAATGAGCAACAGCTATATTTTAAGGACCTAGTTTATCAAGAGTTATTTTGTACATTTTCCTTTGCATGAGTAAACAATCCAGTGTACAAAGTAGATCGTTTTTACACCAGTATGATCTAGTCAAACCACATAAACTCTTTCAGCTCCAGCTATTCAAAATAGAGATTTCATTCTGAAGTACTTTTAAATACTTTAAAAAAAATATTTTAAATAAGTGCTGTACCCCAAGCTCTATGTATTGCTTACACAATACCCTTGAATGGGTAGCAACTAAAGTTAAACACATTGGTAGGGCTTCTACCATGGAAGATTTGTGGTTTAGGACAGAGCTGACAATAAATTCATAGTCTTAGGTGTGCATATATAGTTTCCTTTGTGGAAGTGCTACAATTTGCAAAACTTGCCAGAAGGTTCAATGTTAAATACTGCCAAAAAAACATTTTGCTCGACAAAGACATCTTGTACGCATTGGCTCTTGTGGGGCCAAGAGGTGTAATCAACAGGAAGTCTTTTTGTTTGCTTGCTTTGGAATACTAGGCTGTGTGGGAGAGTGAAACTTTTTACAGTGATTTTTTTCAAATTAGAGACCTATTTCAATAACATTTCCAGCACATTCTGCTGAAGATATGTTTGAAGTCTCATTTCTTACCTTCTGGGATAGTGTACTGTTTGACTGCAATTTATTACATAGCTTTGGCTTTGATTATTTTTAGCATACTTTGTAAACGAAACTGCAACAAAATTTTATTAAAAAAAAGCAGTGGAGGGGAAACAGCATATTGCAGGTCATAGTGGGGTGGACGTTATTTTTCTTGATCTAAACTTGACAAGGAAAAAAGCTTTTAAAACATAAATAAAACAGTACACATGAAGAGCTGTTTTTAACTACTACTCAGTTACAGTTTTTGGCCTGATCCAGACGACAACTACTGTCCCAGCCTCTGGGAGTTCCTGTAGGGGCTTCTGCAACAGCATCAAGCTATCTGCAACCCACTGACATGTCAAACATTCTCATTTCTCTTTCAAGTTTCTATTCACAAATGGAAATGAAAGGCTGTTTTGTATAAAACAAAATTATTTCCTGGGCAGAGAAATAGAGCTGAAACTAAAGATGAGAATTTTTAAATCTTGGCAGGCTGTTATTGCTAATTGCAGTCAAGGGAAGATGAGCAAGTACATTCATCAAAAACATGCCCTGGTTCATATTATTCCTGATCTTTCTCACTGAGGCTAGGCTGAACAAAGTACAGGATGCTAATCCATGCTTCTTAGAGCTTGTAGAGCTTTAGCATGAATCAGGAAGACAGTTTTCCCAGCTTAGAGAGCTACACTAGTCACTACCAGCTCATCACAGTGCTGTGACATGGACAGCAAACATAGTACATTCCATGCTTTAATGTGCTTTCTAAACAAGTTGACAATAACAGCTACTGCAGAAAAAACAGACTAAAATTAATGGTAGCTGTATGATGATTCTCAAAGCAAGTCAGTGTCATGGAAGCAACATTGACTTTTCAACCAGTTGGAAAACTGTATTTCTCCAGGTACAAGAGTAACCCTTCTTTTATTGTTGAGTTGCCTAGCAAATGGTGTTCTGGTTACTAGAACACAATCAGCAAGAGCTTAGTGGTGTGAGAATCCTAATACCAATAAAGCCTAATGTATCACTGAGTTTTGCTGTATTTGTTTCCACAATCAAAAGAAGTGAACCTGCTCAGCTTTCTGAAGCCAAGTTTCCTAGTAAATTGTAATACTGAGCTTCTATTCCCACAGGGTAATTGATGGAGCATGCCTGGTTTACTTTCCAAATAGCATCAATAAGCTGACACATGTCACTTGATGTAATAATTGTACAGTTTTAGAGCACATCTGGTTTTGTACAAGTCCAATAGAAGGTACCCTGGAGATCAAAATTTGTTGATACAAATGTAGAAATGGAGCAATACCAACCCGCCTAGTATTGTGCAACAGACCTTTAACACAGCTGCCAAAGTGCAGCCGGTGCTTTTTTTCTATGTGCTCTGCTCATGTGACCATAGTGTAATTATGGGAGTGGGAGGGAGATAGTCTAAATAGTCCTTTAAGCCTTTCCCAAATTATAGACAACATAATCCTCCAGGTGAGAAACAAAATGAGTCTTGGGTCTCATTTTCACTGGTAATTGTCTCAGCAGTGAGATATCTGAAGGACATATTGTGAGGAACAGTTCCGTAAGTTACAGCACTTTATCTTTCATCAATACCCCATAAGACATAGAAAAGTGCATCCTACTACACAGGACAATTTGCTATACTAATATTATTTAGATAGAGCTGAAGGGAATCATTAATCTGCATAGGGTTAGCTAGTGAAGCAGGAAATCTCATTGTGCCTGACTCCCACCCGAGCTTCTATTTAAAAACTAAATCCTTCAGTTAGAAACTGTTCATGTAAGTCAGAATATCATCAGAGAGAAAAAAAACAGTACCGCACAATTCTGTAGAAGTATTTCCATTTCGTTTTCTCAACAGAAGAATCTCATGATTGCTGATGGAAGTCTCCATCAAAGGAGAGCTCTCCTCTAATGGAGGCTTCCATCAGCAATCTCATGTAAACTGTGTATCTACTTACTTACCATAATTATATTATGTTGCTGATTATTATTCCAGTTCAGTGGTATGCTGGTTTTGGCTGGGATAGAGTTAATTTTCTTCACAGTAGCTAGTATGGGGCTGGTTTGGATTTGTGCTGAAAACAGTGTTGATAATACAGGTATGTTTTCGTTACTGCTGAGCAGTGCTTACACAGAGTCAAGGCCTTTTCTGCTCCTCACCCCACCCCACCAGCGAGGAGGCTGGGGGTGCACAAAGAGTTGGGAGGCGGCACAGCCAGGACCCAAACTGGCCAAAAGGATATCCCATATCATATGACGTCATGCTCAGCATATAAAGCTGGGGGAAGAAGAAGGAAATGGGGGATGTTCAGACTGGTGGCATTTGTCTTCCTCAAGTAACCATTAGGTGTGATGGAGCCCTGCTCTCCTGGAGATGGCTGAACCCCTGCCTGCCAATGGGAAGTAGTGAATTAATTCCTTATTTTGCTTTCCTTGCATGCGCAGCTTTTGCTTTACTTATTAAGCTGTCTTTACCTCAACTCACGAGTTTTCTCACTTTTACCCTTCCGATTCTCTCCTCCATTGCACCGTGGGGGGAGTAAATGAGTGGCTGTGTCGTGCTTAGTTGCCAGTTGGGGTTAAAGCATGAGAAGTGGTCAGGTAAACACGGTATTCTTTTATTGAGAAAAGCGCAGAATTTGGGCAAGGGTTTGCTCCCTTACAGGGTGG